TGATACTGATCTTAAGAAAATCATTAACCAGAACACAGAATCCAGAAATAAACCCACACATTTATACTGAACTCATCTTCGACAAGGGTGCCAAGAACATACAAGTGGGAAGGTGACAATCTCTTCGATAAATGATGCCAGGAAAACTGGACATCTATATGTAGGAGAATGAAACTAGACCCTTATTTCTCACCATATACAAAAATAAAATCAAAATGGGTTAAAGACTTAAATCTAAGACCTGAAACTATGAAACTACTGAAAGAAACCATTGCGGAAACACTTCAGGACATTGGTCTGGGCAAGGGCTTCCTGAGTAATACCCCAAAGCACAGGCAGCCAGAGCACAACTGAGCTAATGGGATCACATCAAGCTAAAAGGCTTCTTCTACACAGCAAAGGAAACAATCAACAAAGTGATGAGACAACCCACAGAGTGGGAGAAAATATTTGCAAACTACCCATCTGACAAAGGATTAATAACTAGAATATATAGGGAGCTCCAACAACTCAATAGGAAAAAATCATATAATCTGATTAAAAATGGGCAAAGGATCTGAATAGACATTTCTCAAAGGCAGACATACAAATGGCCAACGGGCGCATGAAAAAATGTTCAACATCATTAGTCATCAGAGAAATGCAAATCAAAACTAGAGTGACGGCCGGGCGCGGTGGCTCACGCCTGTAATCCTACCTCTCTGGGAGGCCAAGGCGGGTGGATTGTTTGCGCTCAGGAGTTTGAGACCAGCCTGAGCAAGAACGAGACCCCGTCTCTACTAAAAATAGAAAGAAATTAATCGGACAACTAAAAATATATATAAAAAAAAAATTAGCCGGGCATGGTGGCGCATGCCTGTAGTCCCAGCTACTCGGGAGGCTGAAGCAGAAGGATTGCTTGAGCCCAGGAGTTTGAGGTTGCTGTGAGCTAGGCTGACGCCACGGCACTCTAGCCCGGGTAACACAGTGAGACTCTGTCTCAAAAAAAAAAAAACAAACAAAAAAACCCCCCAAAAAAACTAGAGTGAGGTATCATCTCACCCCAGTTAAAATGGCTTTTATACAAAAGACAGGCACTAACAAATGCTGGTGAGGATGTGGAGAATGGGGAACCTCGTACGCTATTGGGGCGAACGTTAATTAGTGCAACCACTATGAAGAACAGTATAAAGGTTCCTCAAAAAACTGAAAGTAGAACTGCCATGTGACCCAGCACTCCCATTGCTGGGCACATACCCACAGGAGGGGATTCAGTATGTGGAAGAGACACCTGCACCCCCAGGTCTACTGCAGCACTATTCACAATAGCCAAGATTTGGAATCAACTAAGTGTCCATCAACAGAAAATTAGATAAAGAAAATTGTGGTGTATATACACAACAGAATATCATAAAGCTACAAAAAATGAAATCCTGCCATTTGCATCAACATGGATAGAACTGGAAAACATCATGTTAAGTGAAAGAGGGGCCAGGAGGCCGGTCTGCTGTCCTGCCTCCATGCTGTGTGAACCTGTTCCACGGTTTAACATTTCCACCATTTGTTCAGAGTTTGGAGCGCCTTCTCCACACGTCCGAACCCCCAGGTATGGCAAGTCCTGACGAACGCCACCCTCTGGGAGCATGTGCCCATCCCCTCGCTCCCTGCCCCCCCAGGCACAGCGATGAATCCTGTCTTCATTCCCTGGAGAGGACTGCCAGCTCCCCAAGGACAAGTCAATGGTGCCTAAGCCATCTGTGTGCGCTTTCGCTCACGCCGCTCGTGGCCCTGGCACAGAGGGGAGGCTGAGTGGGTCTGTTGGATACAGACACACGCGACTAATGCAAATGGGTCCTCGGGAATCAGCGTATCCTTCTACGAGCTTCGTAAGGTGCCAGGGAAGCAGCACCAGCTCCAATGCAGCATCTAGGCAAGCCTGGCCGGTGGGGTCCCGCCCCTCTGATGAGTTTGGTCACTAAAAACCTTAGGTTGGCATCCCCTCGCCTCCTCTGCCGCAGACCTGCACAGCATTCTATTCTGCTTCACGTACTTGAACGTGCCTCGAACGACTCACTTGACAAGTAACTGCGGAGAGCCTACTTGGGGAAGTGGGTCACACTCCAGCCCCAAGGAGCCTGCCCCCCAGGGGCTACGGCAACAACACCAGCTGGAGGAGGCCAGGCACTGTGAGGCAGGCAGGGGTGCTTTGGGCCGGGGACAGGAGGGAGCCCCTCCTCCCCAGGCTGGTCAAGCCAAGGGATAGGAGTGCGGGGGCAAGTCGGGAACAGGTGGAGCTGGCAGCTCAGAGGAGCTGAAAGGGGCCGGCATGGCTGCGGTGTGACGGAAGCAGGGAAATCAGGAGTGCTGGACACCAGGCAGGGCCACTGGGCCGAGGTGCTGTGGGAGAAGTGTATCAGATCATTAACATTCTCGGCAAGGCCCAGTAGCACAGCCAAGGAAACGCGGATATATGAAGCCTGTGTCCCACTGTCATGCCCACCTTCCACAAGAAGAAGTGCCTGTTAGCAGAAAAATCTAGAATTAGTTGTATTTTAGTCTTTTAAAGTGTTTTATTATAAAACATGTACACAAAAGAATCAGTAAAACACGCAGGCACTGTTGCCAACCTAAGCAGAGGAACACTGAGAAGCCTCTCTCCTCCCCAGAGGTGACTGCTAGGCCAGGTCCTCCATATTTCCGTACAGCTTTATTCCTGCTCTCAATTTTCCTAAAAAGCAACCTGTGGAGCCAAGCCTGTTCGAACTGTGTACATATGAGCTGTTCCATGTGTCCCTTGCAACTTCCCGACTTCCTCCCTGGCCACCACCAAGTCTCGGAGACACCCTGGTGACATGGGGCTCACACCGTCCGCTCCTTCCCCCCATGATGGCTGTCCGCTGCTGGGCTGTCCAAAGCCTGCCCGTCTACTGTGGACGTGCATTTTGAAGGTGGCTGATTGGGGCCGTGCCCGTGTGTGAGTTCCATGCAGCTGCACTCCCCGTGTGTAACTGCGGGTCCCAGGGCAACACTATCCTGTTTTCTGAGTGGCCGACTCAGCAGAGCCCCTCGTCGGTGAAGGCAGCTCCCTCTGCTCCGCACTCGTGCCAGTGCCCGTCTCCTGCCCTTCCAGTTTCTGCCAGCCGGTGGCGAGCGCATCTTAGTCCACTCCAGAAGGTTCAGGGTCAGTTCCTCCAATCGAGTTCTCATAATTCACGAATCTCCATGAAAATATCTTGCAATGAAAGTACTTCCGGGTCCTCTCTCTCTATGCACCAGTGATGGAAACTGACCCCCGAGTCAGACAGCAGAGCTGTGAGGGGTCAGCCCTGCTCAGCATTTACCCTGGAGGCCACGGGGGGTGTCCAATTCCTTCATACTGTTCCATTTTGATAACAGATGGTGTGAAACTGGAGCTGAGGCCACATGACGGCATCGGCATGCTTCCGCAGGGTGGATGCCTGAGAAAAGCCACTGCTATCTGGGTAGATCCTTCCGACCACACCGGCCTCTGGTCTTGCATCGCCTGCCCTGCTGGGCCTCAGCTCCCCACCCACAGCTCCCACTGCACCTGCTACCAGCCACCCTCCCCGAGCCTCTCATCCCAGACGCACGCCGGCACCCCACACGCTCGCCCACGCACCTGCCCTGCCTCCCATGCCATCTCTTCCGAGTTTTGAAACAAGCGTACAAATTCCCTTGGCTGGCAAAAGTGCCCAAGACATCGTCGCCAATGAGAGCGCACACGCTGCAAGTGCTTTCGTTTTCACTGCACAAACACAGGCTGCAATTCCTTTACACACTGACGCAAAACCCACACCACGGAACCATAAGCAGAGGATACACTCTTCACTGGTAGAGAAATGTCACACGTTTCCTTTAGTTAGTACGAGTCACAAATAGAATGTTATTCTGGATAGAACGGAAGTGTCTGGGAGCTTTCCATTTACAAAAGCTCCACAGAGTATTATAAAGAACTAACATAGTGATTAGTCCCTGTCATCGTTTAGGACAGAATGGAGGGAGAGTTCATGCTCTCGGAAGGGTACAGTGAGGACGAGATACAAGTGCTTGGGTGCCTAGGAAAGTCAAGGCTGTTACCTGTCACTCATCCTGTGTCTCTGTCTCTCTCTCTCTGTGTCTGATCCTCTGTCTCTGTGCTCTCTCATGCTGACCTTTGCTCTGTGGCCACACAGGGATGTGATGGCTTGGCTTCCTGAGGAAGGCAGGGGAGGCCGCTGGGAGTGGAAAGACCAGCATGCACAGACGTATGGGTGCCAATAGGCAGGCCAGGTGGAAGGACAGCAGGGGGCTCAGTGTGGCCAGAGCCTGGGGAGAGATGTGGATGAGTCTGAGAGGGGTTGGAGAGTTTGATCTGCTCTAGTCCAGGTTACGGAGAGTCTCTGGCACTTTGGTTACAAGAAACAGACTCACCCAGGTCAGCCTGATGGACAGAGGTAGGGGTGTTGGTGGGGGAGGGGAGGAGGCCCAGGGCAGCCCACCCAGGCCTTTGCTTCTATCGCACCTGGCTGGGTCACAAGACCACCACACCAGAGTCAGATGGTTTCCCCCTGGAGCCAGATACCTAGAAATGGTTTCATATCTGAATTTTCTTTTTTTAGAGACAAGGTCTCACTCTGTCACCCAGGCTGGAGTGCAGTGGTATCATCACAGCTCACTGCAGCCTCCAGTTCCCAGGCTCAAGTGATCCTCCCACCTTGGCCTTCCAGTGCTGGGATATAGGCGCGGCCTACCGCGTCCCGCCTTCCATGTCGGAATTAAGCAGACATGTATCACCCCTCACAGCCACCAGATTCAAGAGTCGGAGGAGCCCACAGAAGGCTCAATCGAAGGCAACTCAACACTAAGTAACTGTACCATAAAACAGGCCTGTCACTCATTCTAGGAGGACAGAGGGTTAGGGAAAGAAAGGGACTTGCCTTTCGGTGTGGGCTCTGAATCGAGTTTCTGAAGTCCTTCCCTGGCTCAGTACAGGCCTTCTAAATATTTCTCTTTTCATGCAGGTTTTGTCCTGGTCATTGGGCTGGTGACTTTCTACAGAATCGGCCCGTATACCAACCTCTCCTGGTCTTGCTACCTGAACATTGGTGCCTGCCTTCTGGCCACCCTGGCAGCAGCCATGCTCATCTGGAACATTCTGCACAGGAGAGAGGACTGCATGGCGCCCAGGGTGATCGTCATCAGCCGCTCCCTCACCGCAAGGTTCCGCCGAGGGCTGGACAACGAGTACGTGGAGTCACCGTGCTGAGTCCCCTTCTCAGGGCTGTGAAGATCCCCTGTCACAGGAGAGTCTAGCAGCCGAGGGACTCTGCCAAGTCACCGTCTCTGCCTGTGCACAGGCACGTGCCGAGTCTGGGTTCCCCGTGTACACACACGTACGATACACATGCACCTTTACTGTGTTATATATAAATAAATATATATATATATATATATATAAAATATGTCTATACATGACGTGCACCATGACCTTCCCAGGTCAGCACACGTGGCTTCACACGCACGCACGTATCAAGGGTAGAGACCAGAATCTGAGACACGGAGCGGGAGCGCATGGCCGCCCAGCTCTGCTCCGTGGCTGGGATTAATTTATTTTGCGTCTGCTGGGAGGGGCATCCCCGGTCACAGTTTACTAGGGTAAAGCAGAAGACCCAGGCAGATTTTCTCGAAATATCCATGATATTCCTTGAGTGAGTCAGAATCATAAGCAGAGAGTACGGTTCTATGACAGAAGCATGTTAGTAGTGTACGTCTTGCTCCCGACTGTTTTTCTTTTTCTAAGTTAAAATAAATGCAAACCTCTTAACTCTGTCTAAAACTTGTGTTTTGTCCATCTACACTGCCACATGAGTGAAGAGAATTTGCTCAATTTTTCGGTAATTTTCTCAGGCTGACATAAAGGGTTGAGATGACCGTTTCAAAGACCCAGTGGAGCACCTGCCCCTGTTCACGTTTCTGTTCAACCGAGTCCCAGAGTCCTTGTTCCTGCAGACTCTGGAAACTGTGGTCACGTGATGGCAGATCAAAAACTAATAGAATAAGAAGGAAGAAGTCTATGTGCTTTAAACAAAAAAACTCAAAGAGATTGGTTCACTTTTTTCTCCAAGAAAAATCTTCAACCTGTCTTCAGCTGAATGCCTAGTGGGCTACAAAATGCCCCCATGATCCACACTGATTCCAAGTAACAGCAGCAATTCCGAATCTCCTCAGTCTGCAAGAGGCACATGAGCCATAACTCCACAGGCTGGCAGAAAACATCAAAGATCTATACCTCAGGGGTCGGAACCTGGAACTCAGAACCCGGGCTGCCTGAACCACACGTGTAACCACGGTCCTGTGCCCGGCCTAGGCGTCTCCTCTGACCGAGAGCTGCACTGCTGGACCGCACAGCCGCCTGGAGGCAGGGATCACTGTGGGCAGCTGCCAGACAGGACAGTGACACTGGGGTGGCAGGAATCGTGCAAAGCCAGGGCCTGGCCACCCAGCTGTCCTTCCTTGAGTAAATGCCTAGCTTTGCTGCTTTTGACCTTCCAGCAAACGTTAAGGTGATCGGTTTAGATTTTGAAGGCCATGTGGTCCCAGGAATTTGTCTTCAACTGACAGTAACTGAAACGTGTTTATGGACCGACCACCTACGACACACCTGGCACACTGTGTGGAGAAAACAGGATTCGCCTCTCAGGTCAGCACAGGAACGCAAACAGCTGGCGCTTAGTTTCTCCCATTTGACTTCTTTCCTATAAGGGATTTTTATTTCTAATCATATGCTAAAACTAATTGTTTTTTTTTTTTTTAAAGAATAATGGGATATTTAAAACACTGTACAATTTCGCTCATATTTTATACATGACTATCAACTGTACATTGAAATTTTAACACCGGCCATGCAGTCAGCCATGGTCTGTCATCCGTCTACATCAAGTGAAAAGTACTCGAGGGGAGGCCGTGCCGTGCCATTCAGTCTCTCCGGCATGTTCAAACGGAGAAGTCCTCTCTAGTCTGCATGGCCAGTGCGGGAAAGGCCCTTCCTGTGGGGGTGAAGGAGGTTTGGCCGCTGTCTTAGCAGGACAGGGGCCAGGGCGTGCGTCCTGTCGGTATGATAGGAGTCACCACTGTAAGATGAGGGAGGGTTCGCTGCAGGTGACTTAACTGCACACCCTTCTTTTTCCCCTTTCGTTTCATTCTTCAATAATTTTTTTGCCCTTTGGAAATTAAAATCTGTCAAATGTACTAGAGAGTAATTTCTGAATTCTCTCAAGAACAGAGAGGAAGGCTGTGTTTGTAGACAGCCTCTGATTGACAACTTCTTTCAGAGCAATTGTAACTGTGTTTCACCTTACTGTTTTTATTGTTTAGTATCAAAACGTTTTCTGTTTAGGAGCAATTATTCCCAGAGGGATGGGTATTACAAATATTTAGCAACTCAAGAACTTTTGAAAAAGAAGCATCTAGACCACTTTAAAATAAGCCAAAACAAATGAATAACTGCCCGAGAGGCTCCCAGCACCACAGAGGCCGAGAGCCGGCTTACCTGCCCCCACACCCAGCTGTGCGTCACTGAGCGCCGCTGCTGTGTGGCACAGTGCGCCAAGTGTGCCCTGACTCTGCGCGCCTGGTGGCACTTTAGTGAGTGGAAACACCAGGAAATACACCATGACGCAGTCACAAAAGAGTTAATTGTTTTAAAAGTCTTACTTAGAAGGAAGGCATAAAGAAAGGAACGATCCTAAGAGGTGCGCTTGTCATCTTTCGACATCTCAGAAAACAGAGCCCTCACCTTTTGATGAGTTTGATAGATTTGAAAGCTTCGTCCATGTCGCCGATGGTGACGAAGAAGCTGAAGTTGAGCATGGCGTCCCGAGTGGGCTTGTCGCAGTCCTCCAGCCCGGTGAAGTCCCGCAGGGGTCTCCTGGCCACCATCTGGGGGACATGCTGGTACCCAGAATCCGACCTGTCTTCTCCGTCTCCTTCTCCGGGCTGAACAACAAAGGGCCCCATTTGTGTCAATTCCCAGGCAAAGCCAGTGCCTACGCCCAGTCTATTCCTCTAGACGCCTACCAGTTACGGGGACCCCACCTGCAGACAGAGACTCAGCAACAGGCCGTGGGGTCCCTGCCAGAGCCACTGAAACCCTTAGGGTCACTGGAAACTATCATCGCTTGGGGTCTGGTTTCAGAAAATGAATAGCATGAACTTAATTTTTAGCCTCTAACCTACTAACATCAAATTTTCAATAGTTAAAAATGGCTGTAACAGTTCCCATCTCTCAGGTTTGTTTTTGTCAACCATAAAGACTTTTTTTTACTAGCTATAGGTCAAGTCAGACATCCATGCTTATCTGCAAGGTCTCTTAAAATTAAGTACTAGGTGCGTGATTTCAGGTAAAATTTTCTGAAACAATAACCCAGATTAGTTGTGTATCCTCCACTGGTGTTTGTGTGAACAGTCATCAGCCGCATGTGGCGTCCCCCATATAGGCACAAAGAAGCAGACACATTCCTACGGGCCCTGACTGAGAACGCAGACTCACAGTACTCAGGGCCAGCCTCCTGGCCTGGGTATCTTTTTATACTCAACACCCTGAAACAGGAGCCACTGAGGGGATGCTGCCCCACCACAGGCCCCCATCCTCTTTATCATGGCTCCTTCCTCCCTGTGGGTCAGGGCGAGAGCCCCACCTCATGCCTACTGCTTCCTCTCTGCAGGTCCCATTTCTCTGACGTGCACGTGCCTTCCCCTGTGTAGAGGGGACCATGACACCCTCCTTGGACCAGGGTTCCCTATAAGTTACTGGTCTTTCTTGTATCTGCTTCTACGCTGTGCTTTTTTTTTTTTAAAAGACATGGAAATCTTGCTCTGTTGCCCAGGCTGGAGTGCAGTGGCACGATCAAAGCTCGCTGCAGTCTCAAACTCCTGGGCTCAAGCAATTCTCCTGTCTCAGCCTCCCGAGTAGCTAGGACTGCAGGTGCATGCCACTGTGTCTGTCTTCCACGTGACTTCTTGAAGGGTCACTTTGGCACCTGCCTCCCCAGCTCAGTCCATCAGCTCCTCATCTCTCTGCTCCTTTACAAGCTGACCTGCAGCCCTGGTGAGCAGGCCTCAGGGAGGAGATAGCACTTGACTAGGACCCTAAAAAAACTGGTGGGATCTGTCAAACTCAGCTGCAGATGGGGAGCCCCCTCCAGGCGTAGCATAGAGCATAAACAAAGGCCCTAAGGCAGACTTTGGACCAGGGTGGCTTGAATTTAGAATCCATGGGTCACACTGGGCTTCCCAGTGAACCTGGTGAAAATGCACACGCTAGCTGAGCAGAAAGTAGCAGTGCATGGACAGTCGCAGCTTGAAATAAAGAAGGAAAAGGACCTGGGGAGACTACAGAGTTAAGGTAACAAAACAATCGAGTGGGGTCTGTACTTACAACTGCGTCATACATGCCTCCTCTCTGGAACAACAACTAGAGTGGTGGCAACATAAAGGAAGATGAGAAATGAGAGAAAAGAAAAGACACATAAACGTGTGAAGAAACAGAAATCCACCGTGTGAAATTAATGGGGAAAAATTCAACAGAAAGAATTTAAAACATTTTTCACAACTTTTTTGAGTTCTCATTTAGAAATTAAAGCACGTAAGGAACACAAAAGAAGAACGAGATTCATTAAAATGCCAGTGTGATGACACTAACCTATTAAAAACAAGAGCATCAGGAGCCATGCACTGACACGGAGCAGGCCCTCCACGTGGTACGTGGCACGGGAACCTTCCAGTCCACACAAAGACAAGCCCGTTTCGAGGAAGGCAGAAATGCGCACACAGACTGCTCACCACGCCACCTCCAGTGACATGGGGACACTGGAACATTATCTGTGACATGGGGACACTGGAACCAACCGTGCCCAGATTCACCCTTGTTCTGAACACTGAAATCACTGTGCACAAGGTTCCAGCAGAGCCCGAGAACCAGAGACCTGCACACACCTGGCCACATAACTGTCACACATCAAGGGGCAGCACCTTCCACCCCATGTCCTTTATACCAAATCCTTTTAAAGTAGCTAATAGCCCTGGGAGAAGTGTGGGTAGAGCCATCAGAATTGCTTTTGACTATGGCAGCTTACACAGGAAAGCTGGCATTAGCTTCTGTGGCCACGTAGAAATGACTACACATACATAGACCTACATGTCTCTCCTCTTCTCTAAATGTCCCTCTGGGACATTCTCCCCTGTCCCAGTTTAAGAGCCCTCAGACCCCACCTTTGGCTACAAAAGTAACACCTGCTTCTTATAGAAAGAGTCTCACTGTCACCCAGGCTGGAGTGCAGCCTTGAACTCCTGGGCTCAAGTGATCCTCCAGTCTCAGCCTGCTGAGTAGCTGTGACTACAAGGGCAC